GGAATACTTGGCTAAAAATGGTGCCTGGAATCAATACTTACCACATGATACGTTGAGTTTCAGGATAAACAAAGTTGATTTTCTTCAGAAAAATTTGCCAGGCATTTACTTCTCCACTACTACGATAATTTAGTTTTGATAGACCAGGGATTGAAAAAGCATAATTGTGCTTGTTGGAGAAAAAGGCCATCAGTCCTTCAATATTTGGGGAGTTTCAACTTTCAGAGCCAATTCAAATAATTTCCATTTTGTCATTGTTACGTTTAGATAAATGTTTGCAGTCATGTATTTGTTAATTCAGTTAAACACAGTACTAGAAGGACAGTAAAACATTGTTAACTGGCTCTCAAGAAAAAAATAGCTGTGTTTTATCTGTGAAGCTATAGTAACAAACATTTTCCAGAAACCTCTGTGCTGTGATTTGCTCTATAAACAGACTGAAACCTATCAAATATGTCATTTTTTAAAGAAAGCACTGATATACCTATAGCCTTTCTGATTCTTTATTTAACAAGGAAGGTTTGATATTGGTTTTTAATTACTCTGTATCTTAGTGTATGAGTTTCTTTAATAGAGTTTTATCTACAGTGCTTAACAAATTACACCAACACCCAATGTGAGGTTGTTGCCACAGCTGCCATAGATCAGAATCACAGTATTAGTGATTTAAAATATTTGATATGTTGTAATTTTATGCCAAAATATAATTATTGTTGTTATCTGTGAGTATTCAAATGTACTGTTGCCAACTTTTTTGGTGGCAACGGTAGTGTGGAAACTCAGGCAACACGGAATAGGCATGACACATAGGATTCTCTGGATACACCAGAGGCTGAGGCTCCTCAGCAGAGACTCCAGCTGATGGTGAAGCCTGGGGCTCCTCAGCAGAGCACCCAACCAGTTTCACTAGACAACGACATCAGCTGCTCCACCTCAGGATTAACCAGAAACCAGAGTTAACTGGACCAAAGTTTACTGGGGATTGCAGCTGAGGTACAGTCTCTGCAGTCTAGTCTTTATTGCTTTTATGTTGGACCTGGAATCAACAAGATGTGTGAATCATTTGGAAGTTTGTGAAGGCTATAACTGTAATCATCCATTGGATGTCACTGGTAGGCTCTGTCTTTGAGGCTTTGAAGCTTCAAATCTTTTGTTGATACAACCAGGAAGAAGAACTACAAAATACAAAACTAAAGAAAATCGAGACATCCCAAACATCAAAATGTGCAGTTACATTGCATTATGTATTATGGACATCAGAAAAGCTGATTTTAGGGAAAGCCTTTGCAAATCAGCATCCCTGAGAGTTCAAAGGGAGGTTGCTGAAGGGTGCGAAGCCTAAATCGAAGTCCCATGAGGGAAATGAGGATCCAGACCTACAAGCTGTCGGCCTCTAGGCACCTTTTAGAAACTGGGAGATCAGACACGATTCATTCCGACTGAGTGCTGAGCGTACAACACAAACTGCCTTAATCGATGCCAGCTTACCTCGTTGCACTTGTCCAGCTTGGACTGCAGAAACTGCAAGACGGTTTCCACTGTGGCCCCATGGGGTCTATCAGGCAGTTTAATTCCAGGGGCAGGGGGGCCTTGTTTCCAAGACAGTATTTTAATTTTCTCACAGTTATCTTTCAGTAACCATGCCATGTGTGTCAAGGAATCTGCAAAACACCTCTTGCATAACAATGTGGCAGCAAGTGACAGAATGATAGTGTTTACCCTTTCGGACAGGCCTTAATCTGTTCTGCCTCTCAGCCTGATGTCATCAAAGTGGATGAATAATCTTTGGATTACAAGTTTCTCTCATCTTAACCTTTAAACTGTGAAATGATCAACAAATGTGTTTGATATTGCATGCTTTTTTTTTCAATCTCATCATACTGTGATGATGTGTATGACACTTATTTACTTATTTTCACTGAAACAGCAGCCCATCTCTAGTGTAGCAGTATCACAAACTCTCCATTCTACATTCAGACCTTTGTTCCTGTGAATTGTAGAAGTACCAGCAGTTGTATCATTCACTTCTTTTAAATGTATTTCAGTAGAAAGGACAAAATTATGTGTTTTCCACAGGGTTTATTATTATCTTTGCTGCAGAAATGGATACAGTTTAGTTTTCTTTTCTTCATTTCAATGAGTTTGTAAGATGAAACCATCTAGATCATCAATTGCTGCTGTTTGGACCTTGTTAACTGCTTGTGTACAAAGAATGTAAATGTTTAGCTGCATTGACTCCCCGCCTGTAATCAGCAACTGTAGATACCACTAGTGGAGTGGCAGTAGAAAGATAATAACCAGCGTCTTGTCTGGGACTCCGTGTCTGTCAGTTTCCTGTTTTATTCTGAAGGTCTCTGTTTCATGTGAGTGTGTTCGGTTTACGTTTCCCCTGTCACGTCAGTTCTGATTTCTCCCAGGTGTGTTCCCCTCCTGTCTTTCATCCCTTGATTATTGCTGTGTGTATTTAAGCCCTGTGTGTTCTCCTACCTGTTGTTGGTTTGTCTGCGTTATTTCCCTGCATCACCCTATTGTGGTTCCCCGAGTGTCCCTGCATCTCCATTTCAGGTCTGCTTGTGTTAGATTTTCCCAGTTTAGTTAATCTTAGGTTCTGCACTTGCCACCTCCTTTGCTGCTTGTTCTATCTCTGTTGCAATAAAGCTCACTCTCATCAAAGTCAGTGCTTGCATCTTGGGTCCTACTTCCAACCTCCACTCATCTGCCACTGCGGACGTGACAGTTACACACTGATTTTTCTGATTCTGGTCTTTTCATTGATTTGCTGATGTTGAAAAAAAAAAAACCTTTAGATGAACATCAGTCAGCATTAAGGCCCTTCAGAGGTTCAGGCCAGTAAGCTGGAGATGATTTGTTAGACAACAAAAAAGGTCACTGAGAGGAAACTCATGTTTAGTCTCTGCCAGGTTTACTTGCAGACACGCTGAACATCCACCATGAGAGCTGACACTGTACTGCAGCTGATTATGGTTATTAGTTAAAGTGCAGGAGCTAACTAAAGTCTGAGGTTTTTAAAATTACTGGTCTTTGGTGTCTGTGTACTTAACACATATTGAATGATGAACCCTAGAAGTTTATTTTCTAAAGCAGAGGTAGGATACAGCACTAAAAAAAAAGTTGAACTCTTTAACTTCTTGGTCTCATTGAAGAAGTTGAAGGAAACAAACAGCAAAACACTGTCTTTGTTATTTTTTTTAAACCAGCTGTTCTAACAGGTTTGTGTTAAGAAAGTGAGGAAGATTATAACGTTAGAAATATTAGAAAACAAAGAGCTTGTGATATGCAGATGGGGAGGGTCTTTACACCCTCGGCTGTCAGTCATCTTAATCCATTAACAACACTGACAGAAGCTTGCTGCGAGAATAATTTAGCGGTGTCAGCGTCAGCTAATTATATTTTATTATATTTTAAAAACAAATCAGTTCTTGTTTGGATTTGACTGATCTTTCTTTTTGAGATACACTTCCAAACAGCTTTCCTACACTTATGCTATTCATCGATCATTTACTGGAAGTATCATGATGATGGCAGAGTGCTGGGTTGTCTGAAGTGTCACTGTGGACTCATAATTTGCACAGATAGCTCATCATTGCTGTTGAAGTAGGTCTCAGCTATGACCAAATTAAGAGAAATCATGCAACGCTAACTTCAATCCCCTACTACTACTTACCCGCTTGCATGTTTACTAATTACTGTGTTAATTCACACTAGACCACTTCCTCTCATCCTACCATCCTCTGCTCCTCTAGCCTTTATGATCACCTGGACCCCATCAACATCTTACTTTAATAAAAGTGAATTTCATGTTTAGTGTAATATTTTTCTGATGCAGTCTCACAAACTCAAAAGTGCCTGATGTTTTTGGGCATGCTTAAAATTATCACCACAACTTTAATATTGTGTGAATTCAATTTAAAGGACAAGTGTCATCTCTGGAAAGAAACTGCGGTCAGTTTGCATGTGTTTGTGAATTTTCACCTGTTCCATTACGGCTGAATCACTGCTGATTTCAAATTTATTTCAAAACCTTAATTTGATGTCAAAAGCACAGTATGTAACATGTAGAATGGTGTCCTTTTTTAGAGACCATCAGAAATTTGTGGTCTTCTGGAACTTGTATTCTCTCATTTGTTCCCTTAATATTTATAGCTACATACATTCACACTCGTTTGTTGCCAATAGTTTTGTAGTTATGGGTGGTTTATTCTCATTTTTGCACCTTTTTCTGTTTTTCTTCCCACATGTGATTTCTGTTGCTGAACTGATCCTGCCTGCTGGCTCTCCTCATCTCATCATTCCCATTTGCCCCCTTCTGAATGCATTATGTTTAGTAAAGATAAGCTATTTATTAGTGTTCTGAATCATATATCAAGTGAAGGTCTAACACATTGAAAACTTCACGTATATCACTCATTAAAATGATAGTGAGAACAGATAATTGACTTTAGGCAGAACTAATTCTAGTAAACTCTATCGCTTGGTTTAAGTAACTACACTCAAACATTGTGAATTTTTTATGAATAGTTAAACCATCACAAATACATTTCAAAACTCCATAGAACCCAAAACACAATGGTGGTTTAGAGCTACCAATTGTTTTCACTGCTTTTTAGCTAAAGAGTGTTTGTTGTTTCAAAATGGAGAAAAGGAAGCCTGATGCGTAACTCATGGGTGAACCTATATGTGTGTATGCTCTGCTTTTCATTGGCTTCAGTAATGAGCATTATAACTGCTTTAAAAGCCTTAACTTAAACACGTCCTTGACAGCCTGTGGAAATTTTTGATAAATAAGATAAGTAAGTAAAAATAAATAATAATAAGTCTTCACTTATCCCGTGTAGCTCCCATTTGGAACAATCCAGATATTTGTCCAAAAGTTAGAACCTACTGACTTTTGCATCATGGCATGTAAAGGGGATAGAAAGAATCTAGAACATATTATTCAAGAGAGAAACTTTATTTTGTTGCGAGAACTTGTATCAAAATATGGAGTTAGTGACAATAAAGTTCCTGAAAACCAGCAACTTAAATTCATCATACAGAAAAAGTTTAAGCCCAATCCACTGAATTTAGAAAAGCCTATATGGATTACAGAATTTTTATATTTCTCTCCTCCCAGATTGTCATCATTTTCCCTTCAAATGGAAAGTAAGAGCACCTTGAGGCAACATTTTTGTGGTTTGGGATTATATAAATCAAACTGAATTGAAATGAATGCTGGTCAGCAGCCAACAGTCAGGTAAAACTAAAAACAAAGACCAAAAAACAAAAACTCAAAAATATTGTTTAGTGGGAACATTATGGGAATCTAAATTTGCAATTTGTGACATAAATAAAACCGCAATGTACATTTTTCCTGAACTGAACTTTAACACAGAGACAAACATTGTTGCCTGGATCAGACCACGATCAGACTGAGTTTTGCATTTATAGGCCAAATCTGAGATTTTCTCATTCTTTCAATACAAACAGTTTTCTTCAACTAGGGGACATTGGCATGAACTGTGGCTGATCACACTTGTGGTCTGGCAAAGACTTTACAGCAATTCTCTGGTCCTAAATAAAATCTTTGTGTCTACAATATGAGAGACTTGATAATCAAACAAAGTCCCAGGAATATGATGACACATAGACAGAAGAAATGGAGTGACAGGAGGAGCAGGATGTCTCCCAGCAGATTGATCCCCTGAGGGCGAAGTACCGGCACAGTGGGTTGGAGTGGGGGAGGAAGAGGAAGAGGTGGCATAGTCTGAGGTACCTCACAGTAAACACCTGTCCAGCCCTGGTAGCACTGGCAGGTAAACTTTTGCTTCATATCCAGGATGTCGTGGTTGTTTAGGTGGCCACTGATGTGAAAGCGAGGGCCGCTGGGAGCTGAGTTGTGGTGGATGTGGAAGAAGCGTGGGTTCAGGTGTAGGTAAGTGTCTGAGTCCAGGCTCTTACGGATGCATCTACCGTTCTTTTTGCACAATGCTTTGCTGCACAGCTTAGCTGCTGATGTGACATTGATGACATAATGTCCCAGAGGACCATTGATGTACTTCTTCACCGTTAGGCAGTTTCTCTAGGGGAGGAAGGAGAAATTCTAAGTCAAACGTATAAGACATTTATTAGAATAATATATTGTATTTAATTTTCAACAGCATTGTCAACACCATTAGCTTTTTTATTCCCTACTTTAAAGACATTTTCTTGTGCTGAACTGTCATAAAATATAAAGGCTAAGAACTAGAAAAGCACTAATAAATTATGCCCTCCAATGACTAATATACTGCTTTAAAGTTTGGAGGTGATCCAATGAAAACTAAAGCATTTGATTAATTTGAATAACCCTGACCTTTGACCTATGACCTTGAAGCATTACATAGTAAAATGGAGTATTTTATTATGTTTACCACTGTAATTTATAGACAAACATGCAGCCAGAAACAGAGTGAAACCGAAAGAAGCTCATTTCAAATCATTTCCCCTCTGTCTTATGAAAACGGTATTATTATGGGGCTCACCTCTAAATGCGCATGAGGACAGAGTGAAGAGATTTAGGACAGTGCCAAAGTTTTGGCAGTGCAATAGGAGCATTGAGCCATCTGTGCAAAGTGCTGATTAGTCACTGATTCTGATAACGTGACTGGTTAAAATATTCTCCTCCTGAAAGTGAGAGTCTTGCAAATAAGGCCAGCCACAAAATTACTCTTCATAACTTTCAGTCAGTTAACATCTAAAGAAGTCTTTTGGCTACTGCAGACATTAGTAAATCTGGGCCCAAATGGGCCTTCTTTAAAATACCAGCCTTGTGAAGGGATATTTTCACAGGGTGTTTTTGTTTATAAGACCTCCATAAAACAACAGGGTTAGAACACACTCTGGCATGTTTGGCAGTCCATCGTCTTGTAGTTTCAATATAGATAACATCAAGGCATCACATTGGAGACTAGTGTAAGGTCTTTGTTTCTGTGTTTTCAGACAGTAAAGGAACTGCACAGAAATTAGTGTGATTTTTTTTTTCTGTTTTTTGCATGTACCACAGTGATTTTGAGTGGTGGTGGGCACTGCAGACTTTTCTTATGTTTTTCCCCCCTTTGGGTTGCAATGTAAATTGTCATGCACTTGAGCTTTGACATGTGGTGTTTGCTTTTTAAATATATTCCTTGCAGTGCTTCTCGTGTCTTTTATATGTTAGGCCACTGTAGTGCAGCACAATTAGTTTTATTTTAGCAATTAACTTATTTTAGAAGGAAGTTCTTTTTTATTGTTTTATTTGGTGCAGCTTTTGCACATCAAGACTTTAGCTCATTTTGAAAATGGTGGCAGTAAAATGTCTCAAAGGTTGGGACAGAGACATGTTTACCACTGTGTGGTATCTCTCCTTTAAATAAATGTCTGTGATTTTTGGGGATCTCTAGAGACCAGTTGCTGGTTATGTTCACACATGGCTTCTTCTTTGCATTATAGAGCTTTAACCTACATTTTTGAATGGCATCCTCATTACCATCATCAATCCCAGCCAATCTACCTTAACTCTTCTATCCCTCTGCTGACGGTGGCCTCTAGAGGGTTTTCATAAAGTCGTCCTTCTGATGGTCGCCTTCATTACCATTGTCAGCCTTCAGTAATGGACACACAGGGCCTTTGTTGGCACCATCAGTACAGCCAACCCTCCTGAACTCCATCTCTGGCACTGCCCATCTGGTCAGCCTCCTGAAGTGGCCTGTCTTCTCCCCTGACCTCTTGGCCCAGCCACCGAACTTTGTCTCCTCTGCTCACCTCCTGACTGATCTGGTGGCCGATGAACTATTTCATCCTTGCCGTGGGCCAAACAGTCAGCCGCTGAATTGCTTCATCCCTGCCCCAGGCCACCTCCCAGCCCCCAGAACTACCTGATGGCAGCCATCAAATTCAAAATGAGCAAATATTTTTCTTATGATAAATTTTTCTTTTTTTTTTATTTACATTTTACACAGCTCCTCAAATTTGTTTAAATCTGTGTTTCTATTTTTGTCTGTATGTCTAGCAGTTACCTGTGATTGAGCATACTCTGAGGATCCCCAAAGGACGACACCTGATGCTCCCAAGGCAGCGCTTTCCCCAATAGTATGAATCAGGTCACTCTTAAAGAAAAGGACAGGTGTATATTTTGCCAGTAAACACTGTTAACACTTCAATTTATGATGCCTTTAAAGAGATCCAGCAATTCTTTATATCCACCATTGCACAATCTATTAATTTTCTCTTGTCTACAACCATCTTTGTGGTAAATACTAGGATATGTTAACATCAAAAGAGCAAAGCAAAGCAGGGATAATTGTGAAGTGGATCATAAGGAAAAATGGTCCCCCAAACATTGCAAAATATTGCAGTATGTTGTATATAGCTTAATTATTAGGCCAATAGACACTTTTTTGCTTTTTAAATGTGTCCAGTTGGCACACACACCATGAAGGTGTAATTAAAGAGCTTAAGGCCTACCTCTGACAGAACTACAAAGGTGTAGGCATAGAATGGTCGGGAGTAGACAAACACAGGCAATGTGAAATCCGCACGTGCAATGGATGCAATCCTCATAGCTTCCTTGACTCGATAATGGACAAACTTGACTGTGTTAGAGGAGGACTTTAGCTCATAGTCTAGGTAGATGGATGGATAGAGGGCTGTGCTCTCCTTCCAGAGCCATATCAGATGGTCATTGCGAACATGTTCAACATTTGGACATTCCCCAGTGTAATGTTGTGGATGTTGTTTGTAGCCATAGTTGTAGCAGTCTGGAAACAGATAAAACCCCCACAGTCCACCTGGTCTGCGACCTTGAGCCAGTGCCAAGGTCAGATTCATGAAAGCTTGTCCAGCTCTCTCAAAGCCTTCCTTCGCTTCCTTTTCAACTTTGCTCTCTGGCCAATTTGGGTGAAGTTTTCGGATCTGTTCCCTGGACCTTTTGCGGTAGATGTCTTTAGAGCCCCAGTTTCTGACCCACTGAGGCCTCCAGTTCTCCCAGTCAATGACGCCTAAACCTCGGAAATCTTTGTGGGGGATCAACTTGTCAATGTCAGCCCGGGCTTTTCCAAGATGTTTGGAGATGCTTTGGTTCTGCGGCAGGCCACCATTTATTGGGATCCCAGAGTTCGAGTAGTATGGGTAGTATCCCAGACGGCTGTGGTAGAAGATGGTGACATTTGGTCCACTTAGAGTTTCATTGAGGTTTGCTACAATATCAAAAATGCTAAGGTCCAAGTCCACCTTGAATCGAAGCCGACATGACTCAGTGGGAGCATTCCAGACTACAACAAAAGGCTTATGAGGTATCAGAGGTGGTTGGGTTGGTTTGGTCTGGTCACCATCAACTATGCAAACCCATAAGACCAGCAGCAGGAGATGGCGTGCCATTAGCACCATGGCCCTTGATTCCTCAAAGAACAATTAGTAGTCCTGCACAGAGAGAGAGAGCAGATATTACATTTTCAGAGGGAAAATAAATGCATTATGAGCTTCAATGAGCAGGAACAATCATGAAGCACATAAGTGATGAGCACTGAAGTGAATGCTCTAAATTCCCCAATAATGCAAGAAACAAAGCTACCTTGTTCTGCAAAGAGCAATGGAGTGAATATTGGTGCAAATGACGAGAGAGAGAGGGGCTGGTAAAACCACACACTTTTTAAACATTAAAACCACCAATATGAGATAGTTTGAGGAAAGTCTGTGGTGAATTAGCAAAGTGTCCCTTAAAAAAAAATTGCAGAAAGAAATCAGAAAAGCCACAGTAATATTTTGTCATGAATTTAAAACATAGTTAAATTTAGTAGAAAGTTGTTAGTGCTTCTGGAGGCAGTGAACAACTTCTAAATGTGGATATCATCTTTTCATAAATTAACTTAAATACCTAAAAACTTAACTGTTATTTACTACTGCATGGCTCAAACACACCAACCACAAAATGCAGACATACCTGTGAGTCATGGTGCAGGGGACAGTCGCATATTCTAAAGGTAAAACTAGCAACAAGCTTGATTTATAGTCACTCCAATGGCTGTATGCATGCCAACTGTGACATCACCATTTATGCTGGTATTGGAAGGCAATTTGCTGCATGCTTCTTGTGAATGAAAGAGATCGCCACTGAGTAAATTAATGATGAAATAAATTAAAGTACTTACAAGAAGAATTGAAATATGTTCAGTTGATGTGCCTTATTATTCATTCACTCTTCTATAGGATTATGGTCATTTAAAAACTACTTTTTAAAGTATTAAACACTGATCTTTAAAATGTTTTATATTTTTAAAAAAAATTGTATTAGAAATTTCATTATAAAGACCTCGAAGTACACTTTGCAAGTCCTCCTTTTTGCATTAAGTAGTTCAACCCGTTGTGGTCTCTGCTAACACAATGATGGTCATCAACCCAGCAACTCTCCTCACCCATCGTATCATAGATTTGCTACATGAAGGAAAATGAAGCACAATCCAAAGGGTTTAACAATAAATATAACTCAACAAACTCAAAACACAACATGCATATTATTTTAGTTAACATTTAGAAGTTTTGATACTGCACATGCTTACATTGATGCTTTCCCACTAGCTAACCAAATTAAATATTTATACATGTTGATGGTAAAACGCATAGACTTCAGTCAAAGCATAAGAATGTTTTAACAGAAATGATTGCAGTGAAATTAAACATTTAAATAGTGCTTATTTAAACTGCAAAATAGTAAAAGTGAATCAAAATAGGTTTCATGAACTCAAAAATGTAACAGGAACTCATATTTAACTTAACAGTTTAAAAACTATATAATGCCTTTAAGTAAATATCATACAAATATGACAAAGCTTGAAAATAGGTTGTCTGATATTTGCCTTTTCATAATCTTTTCAGTAGTGTCAGAATGAGACACTTACTTACTAAATTCTACAAAGCATGTTTGTTTTAAATCTACAGTAGAAACCCCATTGTATATATAGTCATGCACACATGCAGTAGGACAGGCAAACTCTTGTTTAGCCTTTTTCAAACTAAGACTGTTATTTTCTTCGATCACTGTTCTCTACAGCTTTTTATGTTACACCATCATCCACTAATTGCTCTTGGAACCCCTCACAAGCAAGTAATCATATTTCATTTTTTCCAGAGTTAGGGTAAAGACATTGTGGCCAGTCTCTTAGGAAACATGGGTACTGAGGTTGTCTCCAAGAACGCATGGAAAATCTCCCATCATTCTTTTTTCAGGACTGTAACCAGAGCAGGGGAGCAGGAAACCACTGGTGGGCTGAGGCTTCTCTGATCATTTCTGCTTTACATTCATCTAAGAAAGCCCTGGATTGTTCACCAATGATTTTAATGGCACAAGAAGTGTATGATTTCAGTAGTTTTGGATCAGTAAGTTGAGAACTGCAGAAGAATGTGGACGAGAAAAAGGCAGTTACAGTCACAAATAAGTTCTTGAAAGATTATCAGAAGGTTTCCTCCCACTCAGATTAAAATGCATTTCTTTAGGCAGTGTGTTTTGCACCAGCTTCAATATCCTGCAGACTGAATGTTTTTTTCTGGTGATGCTAATCCAAGACAAGCAGAGTGTGGTGAAGGCGCTCAGGCTGGTCTCCAAACCACTGAAAGCAGGAACCCCTGGAAACATGGTGAATTCAGACCACAAGAAAGACCCCCCAAGTACAAGATCTGAGTATAAACATCCACATGAGATTCAATTTTATGTTTCATCACAGATGAATGCAATGGAACTGTGAGTGAGACGCAACTGAATTCATCTGGTCCAGACTGGAACAGGAAGTAAACTGTTGTTGTCATGTGTCATGATTAACAGTTGGTTGATCCACCCCTTTGATCTAGATCAAAATATCTAAACAGCTATAAACTAACTATAACTCCTGGATATTTGGTATTAAATTTTGGTCAAAACTTGATTAGGCACAAAATGGATCCAAGTTTACTTTGTATATTTTTTCATTTTTAGGGAAACAAACTGCTTTGAAACGTGATTTAGTCACTGGTTATCACTTAGGTGATCTCTCATTTCATCCAGTTTCATCAACAGGTTGTTCACTTCATTATTTGTCTTTGTTATCAACTAATCACGTTCCCACTGGCCTCATCTCAGAACTCATTCTGGGTTCATAGCTTTAAATATTAACATATTCAACTCTACTAATGACCTCACTAAATATCTTTTTTTTTAAAAACATTAGCATTATTATCCTTAATGTGTTTAATACACCCACCAATATTGGTTTTCAAAGCATTATTTAAAGGTTTAAATCATAATGTTGAGCATATCTGCATTCTGAAGTTAGCCCTGTGCTTTGATAAGTAAAGTAAATAAAGTGTATTTATATAGCAACGTTTCACAGACAGATGTGACAAAGTGCTTCACACGAGAGGTAACGAAGCACAACACAATCATAAATGCATCATAAAAGCACTGGTCTAATTAAAAGCTTTTTGAAATAAAATGTCTTTAGCTGCTTTTTGAAGGTCTATGAATTAATGACCTCAGTGTACAAAAAGAGGTGTATATATATATATGAATCAAATCAGCAATATAGTGAGGGGCCTGTCCATGTAATGTCCATGTAAAATTTTAAAATGAAATCTAGATCTGATTGGGAGCCAGTGTAGCAACTTTAAAGCAGAAGTTATATGATTTCCTCTGTTTGAGCGAGTCAGTAGTCTCGCTGCAGAGTTTTGGAGAAAAATAAAATAAATTTAAAAAGCAGATTCTTACTATCCGTTTTAAGTTTCGCTCCCAGGAAAAGCTTAATCACAAATAACAACTAAATTACTGAGGCTACGCTTCTGCAAGAGACCTAAATCACCCGGTTGCTGTTTAATGTCAGGCATTGAACTGTCCGGTGCAATAATCAAGGTTTCAGTTTTGTCTGGCTTTAGCTGTAAGTAGCTGTTGTTCAACCATTGCTTAATGTTTTTTAAGCAGTCAATCAAAGCGGAGAGTTGGTAATCTTCAGAAGCAGTATGGCTGAATATCATCAGCCAAAGGATGATAAGAAACATCAAGAAACTGCTGTATTATCTGGCCTAAAGGAAGAATGTATATTAAAAACAGAATAACTCCCAGCACCAAGCCTGTAGGAACTCCAGCACCATTCAGACATAATCTGATTTGCAGACACACTAAAACTCCTATCAAAGTAGACCAAGAGTGAGAAGGGGGGGCCTCACTAGCAGAACAAGAAGGAGGCTTTGCGGAAATTTAGGCATTGATCTTTAATCTTATCAACTAAAAATTGAAGAAAAGACACACCAATACTGCACTGGGGCACGCAGTAAGCACAAAAGCGAAACACCATATCAATGCATGTAATGTTTGACCCATCACTACCTGAAATGTTAGCAAGCAAGCAAGCAAAAGTCCTTTTCTGATGCAGATAATGCATTGCTGTGACAAAAAAATCATGTGACTAATGACAATGTCATGCGGAGGAGAGAATCATATCTTGTCTTAGGTGTTGTTTGTGTGTTTACATTGTTTGGCTCGTTATCATCCACTGTACTAAAAAGCAGAATAAGAGCCACTTTAAGAAAAAAAATTAATTTGGGTCATTTTGAAAATAAAGTCGAAATTTCAAGATTTCATTCAAAATACTATTTTGAGAAAAAAGTCAAAATACTATTGTTTTGTCCTGTAATGTTAGATATCAAACTGCACCACTAGAGACTGGTGCCGTAAAAAAGAAGAAAATGTTGTCCAGCAAAAGTCACGATTGCAAACTGATAAACATACATGTAATTTCCTGCTGCATTCAGTGATGTAAGTTTATGTGCCTTGTTCATTAAAGAGGCACTTGTTCCTTGCTGAGGACTTGTTTGATTATCAGCCCCCAATACAACCACTTTGAGAATAAAATAACTATATGATAAATAATGGAGCCCTGAAATAGAGAAACCTGATTTAAAAGTGATACATGTCACTGAATAAAATACACACTAATGAACTTACTTTAGAACACATTTTAGTATACTTCAGTGCTAAATCATATACCTGTTACTTCCGATTTTTACTGAGAAAGTTCACTGGGAAATATATCCTATAATCTTTGTAAACAACAAAATGCAAATGCTTAACCTGCAGAGCAATGATATTAAAGTGAGGCTAAGCAAATTTTGTCCAAATGGAGTGTACTTGCAATAAACCGTTTCTTTCTTGTGAATATTTTAAATAAGTAGTTGCAAAAATGTTTCTTCCATCTCTGTTGTCATGCTGTGTGATGTTAGCATTGCTGGAAGCTTGAGGCAAAATCATATGTTCAGTAATATCTTAGCCTAACATTGTCAATCTGGCAAATTGTCAAATGAGTTGCCCAAAACTTGTGACAACCCAGTACCTACATATGATATAGACATTTTTAACTGTTATTGAATGATGAGTCTTTTTGTCTTTTCACACTGGGACAACGGCAAAGGACAGTAGCTCACTGCCAGGCACAGTCACAACTTCTCACAGTCTCGGTTAAGGGCAACTAACGATTTTCCACCGTTTTGCTTTTTAATGGCCACTAACTACCAAGCAAAACTTCCCACTATTAGCAACTATGGAAATACTGATTCCTTGTCTAGTATCTGCTATTTATCGTTTGATGAGGTAAAACAGTTTAAAGAAGCTATAATAGCAATTTTCTTGAACAGATTACATACCTTCCCCTTCTTTACTGAATGTGCTTCAAATTAAGACCTGTTGGTGGATGACTGCCTCCTCTCTTGGTGTTGTAAAACTCAGAAAATCTCCATCTGATAAGCTGTGAATGATCTCTTTGTCTCTGCACCCAATTCTTTTGGGTCCCTGGGGTGATATCAGGGCAGAAATGCCCGAGTATTGTTTTGTTGTCCCCTCCTCCAACGTTACTCAATACTCACAAAGCCATCTTCATAAAGAAAGTCTTTAATAAATGCAACATATTGACAACAGTTAGGATTAATTCATGGAGGGTTTTGTTTTGAGAATTTCCTTAAATGACCAGATTTTAGATTTTAAGAAACGTTTTAATGTGAAGAAGAGAACACTTTAGAGCAACAGATGGTCAGAGCATCTCCATGACCATGTTCATTTACTCAGTCATGATCAGAGGTGGAGAGTAACAAAGTACATACCCTTGATTAATGTATTGTAGTAGAATTTTTAAATATCTGTGTTTTACTTGATTATTTTTCCTTTTTCCTTTTAATCCTTACATTTTCACACCAATATCTGGACTTTCTACTCTTCACAATTTCCAAACAAGCTTGTTGCTTTTGGTTTAAGACATTTGAGGGGAGTCATTTTTTCAAGTCAATGCATGCCTTTATACAATCAAACTTTGAACCTAAACAGTAATACATGAAAGGCAGGAGGTTCTCATACACAAAGAGATGAAAGATGCAAAGTCACGTAGTTTATGCATAATTTTGTCACGGTCCATCGGTCCTCAAAGTGTGAGCTGCCATTTTTTTTGCACTGTTGTTGCTCCCTATTCTCCACTTCCTCCTTTCCCAGTCTCTGTGTGTGTGTGTGTGTGTGTGTGTGTGTGTGTGTGTGTGTGTGTGTGTGTGTGTGTGTGTGTGTGTGTGTGTGTACCAGGTTTGGTGCATTGTCAGGACGTGGCCTGTTTCCCAGTGTGCCTTAGTTTTCTTGATGGCACTACTGCGAGGAAGAGCCTTAAAATGGGGACCCAAACATCCATGTCTCATGAAGAATTCTTAAACAAATTCTGGAATGTGTTTGATAAAGGCTCTAATCCATACTCAGCGACTCACAGGCTATTTTATTTAAAGCAATGTAAGAGGAGTGTTGAGGATTAATCACTCAACTTTTGGATTCTGGCTGAAGAGACAGGTTGGGAGGAAAAGGGCCTCTGAGGTGTTTTTCTGTACTTTTTAAATAATGAACTAAAGAGAGAATTAGCAGCTAAAGAATTACCTGCTTCCCTTGATGCTCTAATTTCCATGTTTGTACACATAGGTGGCCATATGCACCACCCTAAGGGAGTCCAGCTCTGTTCCCATAACATTACTGGCCTTTGCAGATCAGTTTATTAGTGAGGATAAAACAGGAGTAACACATTTCCTTCTCTGTGTACCAGTTAAAAGTCTTGCAGCAGCATTTTGGACCAGCAGAAGATGTGACAAGGATGACTGGCTAATACCAAGGTATAACAAGTTACAGTAATCCAGTCGAGTTGTAATAAAAGGATGGAATACTGTTCTGAGATCATTTTTTGACAAGATGGGTTAAATTTTGGCCAGTTACCTATGCTGAAAAACCTGGATTTCACTACTGCTCTCACTTGACTGTCAAACCAAAAATCACTATCCATTTTAAAACCCAAATGGTGACAGTGGCCTTTCCATACTGTGCTAGAGGGCCAGTGTCCACATGAAAATAGCCCACCAGTGACACCTGGCCGAATAGACAGAACCTCTGTCTTATTTTCATTAAAATTTTAAAAAACTAAAAGTCAACCAAGTTTTCACTTCCTCAAAGACAGTCATTTAGCACTTGAATGGAGTAGTAATTTTTCTCTTTTAGAGGCATATAAACCTGCATCTCATTTGCATATAAATAGAAAGCAGTTTTGTGCCTCCTAAAAATAGAGCCAAGGGGCAAGCGATATAGGGGGGAAAGCAGAGGTCCAAGTATTGATCCCTGTGGTACGCCACACAAGACTAGAGCTGAGGAGGATCTGAAATCCAAGAAGACTGACACAAAAAGTTTTCTTAGACCTAAACCACTGCAGAACAGTGCTACAAATGCCTACACAGTGTTCCAAGTGAGATAGTAAAATATTGTGATGCACCATGTCAAAGGCAGCTGTTAAGTCCCTGAGAACGAAGACCACGTGATCTCGTACATCTGTAGCCAGGAGGATGTCATTAACAACCCCAAGTATAAGATTCTGTGTTATGCAGAGATTTAAAACCCATCCATCTTTTTCCAGTTATCTGGGGCCAGGTGGTGGGGGCAGCAGCCTAAGCAGAGAAGCCCAGACCTTCCTCTCACCAGCCATCAACCGCCATCCTCCAGCTTGTACGGGGGAACACCAAGGAGTTCCCAGGGCAGCCGTGAGACATAACCACTCCAGCGAGTCCTGGACCTGCCCTAGGTCTGCCCTGGGGCCTACCATCATTTGGGACATACCTGGAACACCTCACTCAGGTGCCCAGGACGTATCCTGTAAGGTGCCCGAAACACCTCAACAGGTTGCTTTTGATGTGGAGGAGCAGCGGCTCTACTCTGAGCCCCTCCCAGATGGACGAGCTCCTCGCCCGATCTCTAAGGGAGAGGCCAGCCACCCTTCAGAGGAAGCTCATTTCTGCAGCTTGTATCCGCAATCTCGTTCTTTCGGTCCCTACCCACAGCTCGTGATCATAGGTGATAGTTGGGGGATGATCGACCAGTAAATTGAGAGTGTTGCTTTTACACTCAGCTCTCTCTTTATTACGATGGAGCAGTTCAGCGTCCGCATCGCTGCGGCTGCAGCACCAATCTAGCTGTCAATTTCCTGCGCCCTTCTCCCATCACTCTTGAACAAGAAGTGATGGTTTTAGATGTGTCCTTGATCCAACGCAGCTGATTTCAATGGCTAAATTACCTCCTCAACATGTCTTGAAGTTCTCCAGAGGCCTGGTAATGAACTCATCATGTGATTCAGGTGTGTTGACCCAGGGTGATATCTAAAACCTGCAGGACTCCGGCCCTCGAGGCCTGGAATTGCCCACCTCTGCTCTACAATGCTTCTTTTCCCACCATCAACCAAGGAAGAGAAAAGCATGAGAAGATCACCATCTAGTGGACATTAGGGTACTTTAGCAATACCATATAGGTGGCAGTAAAGTAAAAAGAAAAAAAACAGCAAACAAAAAAAATCCCAGCTATTTAATAATAAAATTGTAAGTACAACAATATGATTACCGAAATGTACTGAACATGCAAAAAAAATTCGATAGCTTTGCAATAAAATGTTTAGGTAAACTATTATAAATTCATATGATATGATATTGATAGTATTACACGAATCCTAATAGTGTAAATACAAAACAAACAGTGAAAAAAAGTATAACCATCTTGGTTTTGCATCATCCCTTGTGCTAGAAATCTCTTCTGCCTCTATTTAGCAAGAACAACTTTCCACCCCCAACCCTCTCCACCATCTGTTGAAACTAAGATAAACTAATCAGCTTTTTAAATAACATTTTAAGCAAACAAGACTTTTTTACAGGATAAAATCCTTGGTCCCAAAAATGACTACCAAAGTTTTCAATTACTGAGATCCTGCTTCATGAGAACATCGTAGATTGTCGGTGCTGCTTCTTTGAAACTTGTGACCTTTGCTCAGTGTTTTATACTGCAGAATGTAGGAGCAGCTGGTCTCCAGATTAGTGTTGGTGTTAATGCCACTGATGTACTTGCTGCATGAAGACAGGTCCTGCATGAGACTGTCTGTCCATTTGTCACCTCAGCATTCACAAACTTCAACATTTTATTTGTTTACCATTAAAATATATTTTAGGTTAATTTGATTGTCACAGCAGAGCATTAACATTGTGCTTCTTGATATCAACATGTCTTATACAATGAACAGCCAACACATTATGCTTCTGGACTGGTCTTCTACAAAACCTTAAAAGGCACCTTGTTGTGTGTTAGCAGATCTATGTTAGCAGATCAAGTTTTGAAACTTGAGCGTATAAGATGTCACTTATCATTGTAGGCTCTGTTGGTAGTTGTTCACCACTACTGACTGGAATAATAAGGACTGCGGATATGTGCCATTCTGGGCATTTTGCAGAACACCAGAAGAGTGGAAACAGTAGAAAAGCAGAAAAATGGTTAGTGGTCAGGTCACGGAATCAGGTTTAAGTACTTAATTAGACAACTATAAAGATGTAACCTGTAAAAATAATGTCATAGGGAATTATCATAGAGAATTGAGCCTTTTACCACATTATTTTGGTCTCCCAAAATCTATTTCTCAATGTCTGCAGTGCTTATGGTGGTTAGAAAGTTCCTGGTTAAGAAAGCAGTAAATCAAGTCTATTTTACTATGTTTAAACACACATAGTAGGCTACATACTGCATACTGCACACATTATAATATGTACAAGATAAAGTAGAATATGTATAATATAAAAATAAATTTTATATCTGGATTAGCACAAGAATATAATGTTATTTTACAATCCAGTCGGTTTAATTTCAGGCAAATGATAATGATAAAGCTAATTGTTTCCTTACAGAGAATTTTCTTCATACTTCCACGCTCTACATCTACTGGCATCCCCCTGCCCCCCACCCTTCTCCCTCTGCAGAGCTGCATTTCTGCTGCCGCATGGGATGAACCGTTTTTGTTTTCAGCGACATTTTATTCTTACCACGGAAAATATATATATAGTTCAACAGTTTTACAGTGTTTAATGTGTCACATCTTTCGGCTTTTCTGCCCATGTTATCTGTATTATAGCGGATATGGGCAGATTTTGTTGAAAGCAACACCCCTCTGCTGTATCCTTAAAGTGGTTTGCTCCCTCCTGCTGCCATGTTGGATGTACGCATTACTGCTGCAGTCGCTGGAGTTTCCGAATGAAAGTTGAGCGTTTATCTGTCTACGTACACTTAACGAGTCACTGGTTTCACATTCAACATCAAACTGAGAATACAAGGGTTTTTCCTAAGCAGGAGCCAGACTGGAAAAGAGATCGCAACCACATCCTCCTCCGCCCTCCTGCTCGGAGTCGAACTGAGCGGAGATG